CAGGAGTTTGGGGCTGTGGTAAGCCGTGATCGTGCCACTGCACTCCAGCCTGAATGACAGAGTGAGACTCTAACACAAGAAAACAAAAAATTAGCCCTTGAGGAAACCAAAGCTATGTTACTAAAAAGCAACCTAAAGGTGAACTGAGATAATGTTGTCCACTTTGATTGATCTAAGAACATCTTGCTAAAAAAAAGTGCCTAAGGATCAACAGAGAAACTCACACTGGGAGACCATGATTTCATTAGATGCAGAAGCCTGGGTTTCTGAGTGACTATGTGGAGTCGAGTCCTCTCCTATACTCTGTAAAGACATAGATCTTTAATATGTTAAACCTCTGAGATTTGTTGGGGTTTATAGCAACGGTTATTTTACTCTGGACAATCGAGCTATAAACTCTACAATTGAACTATGCATGGTGGAACACATCTATCATCCCAGTTAAGGTAAGATGGGAGGACCTTTTGAGTTCAGGAATTGGAGGCTACAGTGAGCGGTGATCATATCACTACACTACAACCTGAATGACAGAGTGAGACCCTGTCTCAAAAAATAAAAATAAAATAATATGTTAAAATCTATACTTGGATTTGTTTAAAATGCTATCACTATGACTATTATAACACATAACTGATATCATGTGTTTTAAAAAAGTGTTTTGGAAGCTTTTTTCAGCTGGAATCTCTTAATTTGTGGATTCTTACATTGTTGTCTTCTGTTTGTGAGATATCTTTCTGAACCCTGTTTGCTTGGAGCATGGAAGAAAACAAAATACTCAACTTTCTGATGCATTTTATAGAGTACAAAGTCCTGTTTCATGCACTATCACTTTAGATTCTCCCAACAACTTTGAGGAATATGCAAGAGCCTATTATCATACTCATTTTCCAAGCGATGAAATCGAGACTAAGAAGTTCACGCATAAAGTATAAATAGGCTGGGTGTGGTGGCTCACACTTATAAGCCCAGTACTATAGGAGGCCAAGGTGGGAGGATCATTTGAGGTCAGGAGTTTGAGACCAACCTGGGCAACAAAGTGAGACCTCTCTCTCTATTACAACTATCGATAAATAGGTTTTAAAAATAGTGTAAATAACAACTAATTTACAGAGTTATTTAAAGATTAATCAAAAGAACCATTTGGTCTGCCTGGAATCTGGTATGTGTTAAGAGGTAAGTTTCCTGAACTTTTCTAACTTTGTATAAGTTCATCTATTTCTGTACAACAAACCTCCCTGAAATAATAACTTAAAGCAATAACAATCATTTATTTTGTTCACAGAACTTGAGCTGGAAGATATAAATAACTGGAGGCTGTGGGTGGGGCTGGACATCTAGCTTCCTTGGGCGTCTCCATGTCTTTCTGTGGTCTTGTCACATGTCTCTGTACACAGTGGCCCCAGGGTAATCATGACATTTTCTTAGTAGTCAGCAACTAGGGTCAGCATATGTTCATGGGGAGGGAAATTAGACTCCACCTCTTGATTGGAGAAGAGTCAAAGAATTTGCAGACATGTTATTAAAGGGCCACAGTTCCCCTTTCTAAAATGCTTGCCTAAATTAGCGCAGACGTGAAGCTTGAGGGTAAGTGACTCATCTAGGGTCATTCCACTGTTAAATGGTTCCACCAACACTAGATTCGATTTTGCGATTCCAAATTTCATGCTCTTTTTCGCCACTCCAGAAAATGTCCTGTGACCAGCAGTATCTAATGGGGTAGGTAGGAAAGATGCATCAGCCACCAAATAGATTCAATCTTTTTAATTACCTTGGAAAACACATATTTATTTTGCAGAAAAAATATTACCCAACAAGTAGTCACCCATAAACACCTTCCGACATCTGTATTTTCATCTTTTCTCCTAACATATGCATCCATTTGCATTTTTCCCAGATAAATCACTTTTGGGGGGTTATTTTTGACAGTATTTCTTGCTTCTCAAGATTCTTTTGTATTAATTCTCAAACCCACTATCTCAGTTATTCCTACCTCCCAATTTGGAGACTCCATTATCATGGTCCTGAGCCCTTTCTGTGGGTCATGAAATTCAGTAATCTTTACATCTAGGGTCTGCCATAAGGCCTGAGGGGCATTTGTTTGTCAAGAGGCCAGATCTCCACATTAGAAAATTTCTGTTGAATCAGAGAGCATTTGAACCATCCCAGTAGAGAAAATCTGGGGATTTGAACAACCATGTGGACCTGAAATCCCAACGGGTTCATGTATCAGCTTTTGTAATTCTAGGCAGTAAAACACATTTCCCTTTAGGAGCTTTTCTCCTTTTGGGGTTCCCCAGCAGTGGGATGTGAGGAATCACCCTTTTCATGTCCCCACAGAGACACTTGGTTGAGAAGCAGAGAAAATGGGTAAGAGGTCTCGGTGGGGATGGAGTCTCTGTGTAGACCAGTACTATCCTCAGAAATCCAATGCAAGCCATGTAGTTACTGTTATACCTTCTGGTAACCACATTTTATTTTCTTCTATTCTTTTCTTTTCTTTTTTTTTGAGTCAGAGTCTCACTGTCGCCCAGGCTGGAGTACAGTGGCATGTTCATGGCCACTGCAGCCTTGGCCTGCTGGGCTCAGGCAATCCTTCTGCCTCAGCCTTCCAAATACTTGGAACTACAGGCACATGCCACCATGACTAAATTTTTTGTGTTTTTTGTAGAGATGAGGTCGCTCCAGGTTGCCCAGGCTGGTCTCGAACCCCCTGGCTCAGGCAATCCTCTTCCCTTGCCTCTCAAAGTGCTGGAATTACAGGTGTGAGCCACTGCGCTGTCTAGTATCCACATTTTAAAAGTAAAGTGGTGAAACTGATTTTAATAATTTATCTTATTTAATCCAATATATCCAAAGTACTATCATTTGAATATGTAACTAATATAAAAATATCCCTAAGATAGTTTTCATTCTCATTTCCACATTGACTTGAAATTTTTTCTTTCTTTTCTTTCTTTCTTTTTTTTTTTTTTTAGGGTCTCTGTCACCCAGGCTGGAGTGCAGCGGCACGATCACTGCTCACTGCAGCCTCAAACTCCTGGTCTTCCGCGATCCTCCTGCCTCAGTCTTTCGAGTAGCTGGGACTAGAAATGTGCACCACTTCACCCAGCTAATTTTTTACGTTTTGTAGAGGCAAATGCTGCTAAGCCTGGTCTCGAACTCCTGGGCTCAAGCCGTCCTCCAGCTTTGGCCTCCCAAAGTGCTGGGATTACAGGTTTGAGCCACTGAGCCTGGACACGCCTTGGAATCTGATGAGTGTTTTGTACTTACACTTCATTTGGGACGAACTGCATTTCAACTCATCGAAAGCCAATAGGTATTGGATAGCACAAATAAACCCCAACCCTTTCTTCTCTTGTTGCATACCTTCTTACCTGCAGACCTCAGTTCAAAACACCAGGGGAGGGATCCCATCCCATGAGGCCGGCTTCCTTCCTGCTGTTCTTTCCCACTAACCTGATGTGTTGTCAACATAAAATTCATCTCTTTTAAAATGATATTAGCAGGGTGACTGTCATCCCAGTGTGGACCTGAAATCCCAGAGGGTTCATGTATCAGCTTGTGTAATTCTAGGTAGTAAAACAGAATTCCTTTTAGGAGGGAAAATTTAGATTGCTTTAGGCTAGGAGTTCGAGACCAACCTGGGCAACATAGCAAGATTCCCCACTCCACCCCCACCCCTGCTACTTAAATAAATCAGTCTGATGTGGTGGCGTCTGTAGTCCCCGCTACTCAGGAGGGTGAGGCGGGGATCCCTTGAGCCCCGGCGTTCGAGGCCCCAGTGAGCTAAGATCGCGCCACCCTGCCCTCCAGCCTGGGCGACACCAGCGAGACCCTTTCTCTCGATACATTTTTAAAAAATCATCATCTACGGTTTCCGCCAGAATGCAGGTTTCCCGGGGCCAGAGGTTTTGAAGAATCTGGTTTGCTCCGTGTGGCTTCCGCGCGCCCAGCCCGGTGCCCGCGCGCGCCGGCCTCGCAGGACGGGTGTGCGGGGCCGGGGGGCCCTCGCGC